GCCGCGAGGCGGTGGGGGAGGGGTGACCACTTCGGAGTCCCGGCCGGCTCCGGCTCCGCATCTCACACCGGGAAGCCCCGGTCCTCTCTGCGCATGCGCTGCGAGCAGCCCGCTCGCGGCCAACGCGACAGCCGGAAAGGCCAGACCGAGCCGACCGAGCTCAGACAGCCCGAACCAGGCGCAATCAGTGGAAGACCGAGCCGCCCGGCGACGCCAATCAAATGGCTTCGGGTAGGAGGTGGGCGAAAGGGCCTCCAAGCGGGTTGGAACGGCCCGCGAAGGCCAGGGGAGCGCGTGAAGTCTCCTCCCACCCTGCCCCCTGTTGGCAGTAGGGTTGCCAGATACTTTCACAGAAAATACCGAACGTGGGGGGGAGGAAATTGGTTGAGACCCCAAAAAACCAGCCACACCAAAAAAAAAGTCGCTGGCCAATACTGGACACCTGGCAACCCTACTTGGCAGGGGGCAGGGGAGCGGTGGTTAGAAATGCCGCGTGCCCCCAGCCAGGCATAAGGATACGTCACACTCCCCCAACCCGACTGACCTGGCAGCGCAGAGCTGGGAAGTCTCCTGCCCAGCGCCTCGCGCTCCTTGCTAATCGGGGGCAGCGCAGGAGGCGACGGCGAGCTCCCTGCCTGGGGTTACCGTACGCCCGGACACGTCCTCCTTCTTGATCTTTCCATTTCCAGACGGCCGGGTTTTAAATATCTACAAATGTCCAGGATTTTGCCCTGCTCAATCAGTGACAGACCGGGCGCTTTCCCTCTCTGCTGAGTACATCCGCACCCGTGCATGCTCCCTAGTCCTGCTACAGCCTCCCTGAAAGAAGTTTCGCCTTTTCGCGGCTGGTGGACTCAGCAGGGTTTCCTTAGCAGCGACTCGTCACTTAGTTATGGGCCAAGGCCCGCTCCCCCAGCCCTGGAGCCTCCAAATGCCACAGGGAGGAGAGCTCCAGGCTCCCAGCTGTACCTCAGAGACTGCCACCCCCCAAAGACCTGATCTCCGCAGTCCCCAGAGCCCTGTAAATACACCCATGGACCCAAGTCCCGCAGAGCCTCTTTAAACCCCCTCCACACCGGACCCCTGTCCTGCCACCCCAAGTCCCACCAGCACCTCCTGGGCTTGAACTGCACATCCTCACCAGAGCCATGCAAACACTGTATCATTAAAAACCCCACATTTCTCCTGAGCCCTGCGTGCACCCCCATTGACATGCACCCTGCCAAGTTCTACAATGCCTCTCGAGCTCTGGAACCCTGCATCCCCCTCCAGAGGTAGGACGGGTTACCGGGGGGAAGAGAGGGCGCTCAGGATAGCCTACTGAAGGCAGGGGGCCCAGGGCAGTTTACCAGAGGTGGGGCTCAGAGCAAGTTACCAGGGGTGGGGGTAAGTAGTACACAGTAGATTACAGTATATTACACGGGTGGCCAACCCGTGGCTCATGAGCCGCATGTGGCTCTTCAAAGAAAAAATTATGGCTCCTGCACTAGCACCTGCAGCTCAGAAAGGGACAGCATGTTTCTGTCTGCATGGGATGCTGGTGCAGATTTCAAAATAGCCACCTTAAAAGGGCAATGCCTGCTCTGCTCTGCTCTTAAAAGGGCGGTGGTTGGGACTTTTTTTTTTTTTGCTCAACAACTATTTCCCCTTGGCCCTTTGCGCTGCATCCACCACTATTTTGGCTCTTCGTCTGTAAGGGGTTGGCCACCCTGGTATATTACATACTCACCGGCTACGTCTAAACTGGCATGATTTTCCGCAAATGCTTTTAACGGAAAAGTTTTTCAGTTAAAAGCATTTGTGGAAAAGAGCATCTAGATTGGCATGGACGCTTTAGCGCAAAAGCACTTTTTGCGGATAAGCATCCGTGCCAATCTAGACGCAGTTTTGCGCAAGAAAGCCCCGATCGCCATTTTCGCCATTGGGGCTTTTTTGCGCAAAACGGTTTTCAGTTGTCTACACTGGCCCTCTTGCACAAAAGCATTTGCGCAAGAGGGCTTTTTCCCGAACAGGAGAGTCATTGCATTTGCGGAAGAACACTGACAATCTTACATTAGATCGTCAGTGTTCTTGCGCAAATTCAAAGCGGCCAGTGTAGACAGCTGGCAAGTTTTTCCGCAAAAGCAACTGCTTTTGCAGAAAAACTTGCCAGTCTAGACGCAGCCACATTGTATACTCACTGTTACTCGTATATGCACACTTTGTGTCCATGTGTACACATAAATACAACGTGAGTTGGTAGATATAGATACACTTCCTCTCAGGAGTGTTCTCTTTTTTGGAAGTTCAAATATGGTAACCCTGCCCCCACCCCCAGGCCAATTAGGGAGCAAGATACTTCGCATGCTCATCCTCCCCCAAGTCCTGATTGACCTGGGGGGTGGCATGAAGTCTCCTGCCACTACCAAGTGCATGGGTGCCTTAAAGGACACTCTGTGGGGTGCAAAGACTTTATGTTTACCCCCAGACCAATCAGCTTATGTGAGGAAGTACGGAAGTGTTCTGGCCTCCCACTTCCACCTGAGGCCCTGCTACTTGCGGGGCAGCTCGGGGCCACTTCAAACATTTCTGAAGTGGCCCCTGACATTTTCGAAGTGGACCCTGTCAAAAATTATTGCCCACCTCTGGTTTAGGAGCTCCTGGACTTTAGGGACCATGTACAGGCTTTGGAGACCATGGTGGCTGAACTGGAAGAATTAAAGGAGGCAGCTAGATGAGACTTTCCAGAACACTGTAGAGCAGTTCCACCTCCAGTGAGACCACCTTTGTGCTATTGAGGAGGGTTTAAAGGACCTTCCCCCAGCTCACAGGGAGGATCCAAAGAGCCCTAGACTCCAAGGCTACGTTTATACTGCAAGGTTTTTACACAAAAACAGCTGTTTTTGTGCAAAAAGCCGTGGAGCGTCCACATCTCAAATGCACTTTTGTGCAAGTAAATCAACAGTTAAATGGCAGAAGAGAGGGCTTTTGCAGGTAAACCTTTTACAAGGCATAACTCCTTTTTGTGCTACAGCTATTGCACAAAAAGGCAAGTGTGAATGCTCCTATGGGAAAAAGCACTGGTGCACTGATGGCCAGTTTGTGAATGCCTATCAGCACTTTCTCGTGCAAGACTGTCCATGAAGTGTGACTGCTCTCTTGAGGTGTAGATGTGCTCTTGCACAAGAAGGCTTTTGCGCAAGAGTTTTTGTAGAGCATGTGCTTTTGTGCAAGAGAGCATCCACACTGCATGGACACTCGTGCACAAGAAAGCTCTGATTGGCATTCACAGAATGGCCATCAGAACACCTGTGCTTTTTGCCATAGGGGTTTCTTGTGCAAGAAGCATCCATACTTGCCTTTTTGTGCAAGAACTCTTGAACAAAAGGGAGTTATGCCTATGGCGGAAAAAGCCTTCTGTTCTGCCATTTTACTCTTGATTTCCCTGTGCAAAAGCATATTTGAGGTGTGGACACTCCACGGGTTTTTGCGCAAAAACCTTGCAGTGTAGACATAGTCTGACTATCCTTGAGCCAGACACCACCCCTCCTGGCCCTGCAGCCTACTGGGAGTGGTAGAAACAAAAATTGGCCAGGGGGCAATGTTTGAGGTAAATGCAGCAAACCAGGGGACAGCAGCAGTGGGGGAAGGGGTAGGAAAGATGAGGGAGAGGAGGCAAAGGCATGGGGGGAGGAGAAAGAGAAAGAAGGGGAGTAAGGGAGGAGGAGGGGGGAATCAGGAAAAAGAGTTAAGAGGACGAAGTGGAAGGGGAACAGGTGTTGTGCTTAAAAGAAACACCCAGGATCTTTTTCAGAGGGATAAGGCAACACACCACATTTATTGAACATACATAGATATTTATCATATGCATATGATACATTGCACTCATGCACTCACACCCACACACACACACACACACACACACACACACACACACACGCTCCGTCTTGTTGTTACCAAAAGTTGCTCCCCCTAACTGCACTGGCCAGGTGAGTTAGATAGGGGAGGGGTGGAGCCGGGCTTCTGCGGATCCGGATTGATGCTCCCATGTTGACAAGACAAAAATCCGGGGTCCCTCTGCAAGATGCCTCCTATTTATCCCTCTTATGCAGACAATTAGTCATCACCTCGCCTTTCTTAATGCTGCTTCAAAGAGAGTCCTTCCAAGGGCAGGAACTTGCTGCTTGACTCCCAAGACTGTATGTCCAGTCTTCTTAATGAGCTCACTTTCCAGGTATTGTCTTGGATCTGCCTCCCAGACCTTCTCCTCCCTTGCAACTGCTGCTGAAGGTGCTCACCTTTCATTCTCCATTCACACCTCATTCATTTCAACAGGGCAATCAAGGAAAGGGGAGAGCTCAAAAGACATTTTTTCTTGCAAAATCTATACACAGTATATATAAAAAGGAAAGTTTCTCTTAATACAAAGTTATAGGAAAAATGATACTATTACAGGGATTTATCCACACAGGAGGAGGAGTGGAACATTCAGACAGGAAAGAGATTGAGCAGGGAACAGGTAGGACAGGGTCAGGTGTGGGAACAGGGTCAGCCATGTCAGCAGGAGATCAGTTGTGATGGAAGAGGAAGGTAATGTCCCCCCAAGTTCCAGGCCCCAGTGCCA